GAACCCTGAAACTTGGTTTTAGTATCAGTGTGGGGGGTATGATTGGGGTGTGTATAATGTTTTAGAAATTCGTACTACTGTGTACTAAATTTGGTACAATTTAAATTCTGGGTGAACCGATAGAGTTGGAATCCTGAAACTTGGATTTAGTATCACTCTGGGGGTGAAGGTTTGGGTTAAGTAGGAAGTTTTGGAAATTCGCACTACTTTGTACTAAATTTGGTACAATTTGTCAACCGATAAAGTTGGAATCCTGAAACTTGGATTTAGGAACACTGTGGGGGTGTTGGTTTGGGCTAAGAATGAGGTTTTGGAAAATCGTACTACTATGGGTGAAGCGATAGAGTTGGATTGGATTGCATGATGTAGGTAGTAATGGAAATTTTTTACTTATGTGTTCTAAGTGGTACTAAATGTGATACAAATTGGATTTAGGTGAACCGATAGAATCCTGAAATTTGGAATTAAGATTGGGGTATGTGGGAAGTGTTGGAAATTCGTACTTATGATTGTTAAAGTAGGTAGTTATATTAATGTGCACTAATTGATACTCAATTTGGATTTGGGTGAAGCTATATTAGATTTTTTTCAAAATAAGTATTACAAGAGTACAAATGGTAAAAAATTACACGAAATTTAGTATAGAGGTATATTTCTGTTGCGGTCGGAATGAGCGTGTAGGGTTGAGATAGAGAGGTAGATTTGAAAACATACTATGGCAGAACATACGTACAAAATGGTTCTTAAATTTTAATAATTGTCGATATAGGGTTTTAAATACATCCCACATTCGCTAACGAAGTAGCGGGTATATGCTAGTATGTATATAAATTGAATTTATTTGAAATTCGATAGTATGGTGGTTGTTTTTGGCAGCGATTTTTCCAAGCAAAAAACAACACTGCCGGATAATTTCAAACAATTAGAGAATTTGCATTTCTCGGTTTCCATAGCCTAGTCGATTTAAGGGAAGGGACGTATGAACTAGGATTATTGACTTCGCTCTAAAATAACAAAATGGTGGACCTTTGAAAAAATATTTTTGGAATATCGCCGATTTTTTACCAAAACCCAATTTACAAAATAAGGAAGACCTTACCGATTGGCTTTATCCTAGTTCATACGATAGCTATACACTCACAGAGAAACGTGTACAAATTTGAAATCGATTGGGTTATTAGTTTTTTAGTTATCGTGCCCGCCATTCGTAAAACACTGCTTCGAGAAAAATGAGTTTAAAGTTTGAGAATCACCCTTGCCGTCACTTGATGCTGACACAATAAATCGGCTATATCTTCTAGAGTTCTTGAGATTTTCACTTGAAATTTTGTAGGGACATTCTTGAATTTTTGATCCCGAGAATGGGGGTCCCCTTAAAATCGTTTATGTGTATTCACTTTTAGCATTTCTTTTATGATTGTTCGACGTGAAAGATTTATTTAATAAAATATGTCATATGTAAACATATGAACGAATGAACACAGACAGCCATCGCCGTTATACTATTCGAATGGGCACGGTAGTGTAGCCAAAGCACATACACGCGTTTATTTAGGTAACCGGTAGCTGCAATGACTTGTGAATTGATAACTCCATACAGACAAAGGCTTTTGACAAACAAAATGACATAATTCCATTAGTATCTACGAGCAAATTTTTTTCACACGACATACGCAGCGAAAAGTTAAAATTATTTTGCAAATTATATTAAAAAAAGTATAAAAATGATGGTGAAAAAGAAATACATGCGAAAAATTATATAGATTTTGTTTCCACGAAATGGAATCGCGTCTAAACACCACAAAAATGAATTGAAATTCCCAGATTCGTTTTGCAGCGTCGGAAAAGTTGGTGTCACACCAGCTCAGCTAGAAAAAAATACGAAAACGATTAAAGAGAAACAAAGAATCGAGAAGAACGCAAACGATAAACACACGAAAGAAAGTGCGAAAAAATAGTTGACAATAAATAACAGTTACAAAGAAATACACAGAGTGAGTTCGCCAGAGAGATAGAAGTAGGAAAAAAGAATACGATACAAATATAGTTGGGAATTTTTATAAATATTGTGAGTATTGAAGATCGAAAAAGTGCTGACATCTTCGGCCATATTCAACCAGCGATAATATTGATGTGTGAAAATAACGACACCCATGGGCTTGACACCAAAGCTTTTCCAAATCTGAGTGATTCTTATTATTTGCAGGAAAAAAACCAAGTGAAATTTAAGAACTTTTCCCTACGTTGCCGTTGTTATTGGAATAGGGATGACAGGAAAATCAATTTGCATTTGAGAAAGCAGTACAGCGCTGCAGCAAAAAACGCTATAGCTGCAGTTCAGTCGTTGCGCTTACAGCAGATACACAAGAAAGAAGTTAACTGTCAACTGAGGTTGCCATTCAACTGTCATCAGCAAAAAATAATAATCGCTCGACCCAGCCGTGTACGGCAGGGTGTAGTAGTCCCCGAATACCTTTGTGGCTTCTTACACCTCGATTGGCTTACATGTTCAAACCGGCCAAGAAAGACCATCTGAAATAACACTTTTCTGAGGTGAGTTAAAGAAGCAGGAAGTAATTATATATCAATCGCCGCGTAGTTTTATAGTTCATGCATTTATTCGCAGACCGGCAAACGGTCTTTTCGGTGGATGTATTTTGGCGAAAATTGATTAGCGTGCCAATTGCTATGGACGTGTGTGCGTGTGTGTTTTTGTTTATATATATATATATATATATATTCGTCTTCGTGGTCGCTGTCGTTGTTGTTTCTTTTCACTGTAAAATATTTTGTTTTTATTTCGATTTTGGCTAATTCGCCAAATGACATCTTCCTAATGCTGTTGACTCGGAGCACTATTTTGACCAACAGCAGGGCGTCGCAGCTGCTGTCGCTGCTAACTATATCGACAGAGGCCAGATTCTTTTGACGCAAAGTGACATTTATTTACGGCGAGCGATGACAACGTCATCGCCCCCCTAGTCAATTGTCTGAATTCACTAGAGGTTTTGATTAGTTTTCCATACGAATGCTTGCATACATACGCACGAACGTGTATTTTTGTACAATGCTTGATACCTATAACAATGTTATTTTTGCATGACCGAAGGAAAGCCGACAGATATACAACGTCTCCGTATTGGGTGAAAATATCTCCTACTAAAGACGGTGGCAATTCTCTCTTCATAATACACAACAAAGGCAGGCCTACTGACATCATCTGTGTTGGACTTGTGTTGATATCATTTAATAATTTTCACATACGGTCGGAAGAATCACATTCTCTATTTTTGTGTGGCATAATTGGAACAGCCCTTGTATGGACCTCAAAAGGAAATAATGCTGTGGCAATTAACACATGTGTACAATTGCGTGCAACGGATTGTGTCCTCACTTATTTTATAATTAATCTCTGGCAAAACCAGTGCAGGCGTTGTCGTAAAAATTATTATTTTTGGTTTTCTTTTACTTTTTCAATTATAGCTGTCCGTCAATTATGCTGTCCGTCGTCGACGTTTGAGGGAGTTGTTTGACGTCGGCCTTTGCTACTGCTATTCTCTCTTTTATTTTGTTTTTATTATTATATTCATATTTGTCAAAAGATGATTCACATTCCACTCCTAACCACTGGCATTCGTACACACACTCTCACCAAGCGACACTGGGGAGATCTATAGCAACAACTAGCTGTTTGGGCTTAAATTGAACATAGACACAGCAGTCGTACGTGGTGTGCTAGCTGTTACTGTTGTGTTTGTGCTTTTCTACCGTTTGTTGTCACACTTCGTACGATGCTGTCACTTTGACGCTGTTGTCACTCCTAACCTTGCGCACACACCCACCCATTGTTGCCGTACTTTCTTCGATTTGTCTCATTCTCTGTTGTCTTTCATTGGTAAAAATTAGCTCTCCCCCCTTCCCATATGTCATCAGTAATGGAATGTATACCTCACCTCAAAGAAGAGTGAAATATGAGAAGTGGTTCAGTGTATTCGTTAAGTCTCTTCTCTCTTTTTGTTATCCTTTTGAACTGTAGTTCCATGTTGCATGTTTACGAACAGTGCGCAATGAACGAAAATTGTGTCTGAAAGAAATTTTAAGAAAATTCTAAAATCTGTGTGTCATCAGGAAGACAACTTCATCTGTATTGAGATATCTCCTCCAAGCAAGTGAAATAAGTTTTGAAATGTTGCCAAAGTTGTCGATGGAAACTTTCGTTTTTGAGTGTTATGTTATGCATTGTTGTCGCAGTGTGTTAGGATGTCGTTTTAATTAAGAAGCATTACGAACTGGAAATACGGAGCTTTTGTTTACCCATTGTTAAAGTTAAATCCTATAATAAACTAATTTTTGAACCAATGTTAGGCTATCAATTTCGACATTTTAATACAGCTGTAGAGACCAAAATTTTAGTGAGAAAAATAAATAAAAAGTAGCGAACCTTTCATATCATCATATACCATTTCTAAAGTTTGGATTATGGCCAGGTGTATACTTCTTTAGGGTAGAACTGATTATATTCAACACAACTATACCATACGTAAATGTTTTGTATTATTTTTTCTCGACTTTCCTTCAGAAAAAAAATAAGCTGTAGTAACAAGGCTATAATTTGTTGTAACACATTAATATAGTTCAACTTTTTTAGTAAAAATTCGACTGGGCCAACTACTCGGATCCCCTTAATTCGGTGGCCAATTATTTCGCACAAATAAAATTTCGCTGAAATTCATAACGATTATCGACAAATACTGCTAAAAAGCTCGAGTTATAATGTTATCTAAAATATCAAATCCATTGTTTGAGTCTCAAAATAAACACCCACAGTTTTCGACATAATGTATATTGCCCGATATGCTTCAGTGGTGAACGCTCTTTTCTGACCCTTTATATAAATAAATATTTTTCAATTATTATGATATGAATTTATTAATAATCAATATTTTCTAATTTCTTTGCAGATTCTCTTATATAATCCCTCAGACGTACATCCATAATATATCCCAAAAATGGCGTATCGGAAACCCAATGATTTGGATGGTTTTATACAGCTAATGCCAAAGGCAGATATGCGTGTGAAAGGACAACTGGCCGAAGATCTCGTCACATTCCTGAGCGATGATACAAATTCTATTGTTTGCATGGACATGGGCCTTTTGGTCGATGGTCTTATGCCGTGGTTAACAGGAAGTCATTTCAAAATTGCACAAAAATCTCTGGAAGCTTTTACAGAGCTCATAAAGCGGCTGGGTCCAGACTTCAACGCGTATACATCAACGGTATTGCCACATGTAATAGATCGCCTGGGCGATAGCAAAGATACCGTTCGTGAAAAGGCGCAGCTGCTGTTGCAGACTTTAATGGAGCATAAAGTTCTCACGCCACAGGTTTTGTTGGACAAGTTGGCAGCTAGTTGCTTTAAGCACAAAAATGCCAAAGTACGTGAAGAGTTTCTACAGACTATTGTTAACACGCTTAGTGTCTACGGAACGTCACAACTGAGTGTACGCAATTACATTCAATCCATTTGCATCCTGCTAGGAGATCCCACAGTATCTGTGCGCGACTCAGCCATACAAACTTTAGTTGAGATCTATAAGCACGTCGGTGACCGCTTAAGACCCGATCTGAGGCGCAGAGATGATTTGCCTGCCTCGAAATTGGCTATACTTGAGCAGAAATTCGATCAAATCAAGAACGATGGCCTGCTATTAAAGTCAGCGCTTCTCTCCACACAGACTCACATAAACAACAACGGCCACGATGAGGCAGACAATATTGCAGCCCGCGACAGACCTACAAAGATTGTAAAGCGAACTGTCTCAGCCACAATGCGAAGCAAGAATAACATTGCGGCGGATAGTGCGGCAGATGCCGGTGCCGTAACAATGGAAATATTTGAGGCGTCTTTTGAAGCCGTGCCCCATTTAAACATCTTTCATCCAAAGGACATGGATGACATTTATAGAAATGTACTGACCATTATAAGTGACAAGAATACCGATTGGGATAAACGAGTTGATGCCCTCAAGAAAATACGTTCCCTGCTCCTTCTGAACATACACTCTCAACCACAATTTGTAACAGTTCAGTTGAAGGAGTTGTCGATATCATTCCTAGACATACTGAAGGAGGAATTACGGTCGCAGGTTATTCGAGAGGCTTGCATTACCATTGCATACATGTCGAAGGTATTGCAACAGAAATTGGACAAGTTTTGCGAGTACATCATGGAACAGCTAATACTACTGATACAAAATTCGGCTAAAGTCATTGCGTCTGCTTCGACGTTGGCCGTGAAGTACATTATCAAATACACACATGCACCAAAATTGGTTAAAATAATCTCAGACATGTTGCAGACGTCCAAGTCTAAAGATATTCGTGCTGCACTGTGCGAAATAATCTGTCTGTTGTGCGAAGAATGGCCAACGAAAGCCATTGAAAAGAGTGCTCCGTTGCTGCGAGACACCCTGAAGAAATCAATTTCCGATGCTGACAGCGAAGCGCGACGGCATTCAAGACGTGCTTACTGGGTATACAGGCGACATTTTCCCGATTTGGCCGACCAAATATATGGCACCCTTGACATAGCAGCACAAAAGGCTTTAGAGAGAGAAAGAGATGGCGCAGGCAGTGGCACAAATAGCGGCGGAACTGATGAACGCCGAGCAACAGTAGCAACTGCTCGCATTCAACGCTCCCCGGGTTCAATACAAAAACCAACGCCTGGAATGCGCAGTATATCAGCTGTGGATACGGCAGCAGCAAATCGAGCCAAGGCAAGAGCTCAATATGCGTTTCTAGCCCGAAAGAAGGCAGCGAATACCGCAACCACGGCAAATTCCACGCCTAGTAGTGCAACAGGATCTCTACCACGCTCAAGACTGGGAACTACAACACAACAACAAAGTACTCAACAACCGGCGACAACAAATAACAGCAGTGTTTCTCCCAGAGTTCGTGGTCGAGCTGGTGTCTCACAGTCACAACCCGGTTCCAGGTCAACATCTCCAAGTTCCAAATTGCGAGAGCAACATGGTATTAGTTCGTATTATAGGCCTACTGGTACCATACCGAAGAAGGCTTCTGGGATTCCCAGATCACTGGCCAGTTCCCGAGAGACAAGTCCCACAAGGGGCGGAGGTGGCATGCTTATGAAACGCAGCATGTACACCACTGGCAATTCACGTCGGACGCCAGAACGCAATCAACCAACACGCCAATTAGCAGCAGCTCGATTACTCCAACAGAGCCGGGATGCCGAAAACGCGCTGGCTGACGCTTTGTCTCCCGACGGCAGTGGTGGAGATTACGCTTCCATAGGCGACTACAGCCGTGACCGTAGCGGAGGCTACTCTGCAGGTGCTCGGCTCAGCAGGAAACTAATGAACCGTGATGAATCAGATGATTCAGAAGCGTCGTCAGTTTGTTCGGAAAGGTCGTTTGACTCGTCGTACACACGGGGTAACAACTCAAATTATTCCCTTTCTGGGTCAAGAAATCGCTTAGATTGGAGTTTCCTCAGGCCCCCATTCGAAGATATAGATACAATTATTCAGTACTGTGCTTCGACACACTGGTCCGAGCGTAAAGATGGTCTCATCAGCCTGACGCATTATTTGGCCGATGGCAAGGAACTCACACCGCAGCAACTGCAACTGGTCTTGGATACGTTCCGTAAGATGTTCATGGATACGCACACCAAAGTATACTCGCTTTTCCTGGAAACAGTGACGGAACTGATACTGGCCTACTCAAATGACCTGCACGATTGGTTGTTTATCTTATTGACTCGCCTCTTCAATAAATTGGGTACCGAATTATTGAACTCGATGCACGGTAAAATCTGGAAGACATTGCAGGTGGTTCATGAGTATTTCCCAACAGATCTCCAAATGAAAGACGTCTTCCGTATACTGTCTGACACGGCCCAGACTCCTTGTACTAAAACTCGGATTGCAATTTTGAAATTTCTGACCAGTCTGGCAAATACCTACTGCAAAAACACCGACTTTCCGGGCTCAGAGGATGGCACTGTGCTGCCAATCGTTGAAAAAGCCCTGTTGAAGATCGTTCAAATGGCTGGCGACCAAAAAAGCCTCGAACTAAGGAACCAAGCTCGCCATTGCTTGATTGCGTTGTACAATCTGAACACGCCGCAAATGACTAAGGTGTTGTCAACCCTACCTAAAGCGTACCAGGACTCGGCCAAGGTGTGCATTCAGACGCACCTACGGCGCAGTAGTACATCGGGCACAAATTCTCCCTCGTCTTCGCCCCTATCGAGCTCAAGTCCGAAGCCATTACAAAGTCCCAATGTGAGTGGGCCATTTTCCTCACTGCAGCCACAATTTACTAGTCCCAGATCGCGGCAGTCTTCTGTCACCGACAATGACCTGTTGGGCTATTCAGAAGTCGATGTCCAGCAAAATATCCAAAAAACGACAGAGGAAATTCGAAATTGCTTCGGTGGCTTTGACACACAATACAACTCACTGGCTAACAATTCCAACGGCGGAGCTGGCTACAACGGTCACACAAGCGAGGCAATTGACTCCTGTGCGTCGTCAAACTCCAAGACTCAATCGGCCACCACAACCGAATCAAATACTCCGGAAAGCACCACAATGCGTCTGGACGGAAATCTTCTGGAACAACATCACAAAATGACAACTAGTGCACTAGGTTCTGCTTTAGCCCAAACTAATTCTTCGTCTTCGAAAGACTACGTCTATTTTAATTTCGCCGAAAATGGTGAAATAATTCTGCTGAACGGAGTTCAAGAGAGCGAAGTAATAAAGGTAGCCCTTAGTCTCACCCCCGACATGCCAGCTCAACATGTTCAATCGTCGTTGTACAACCTGTCAGTCTGCATCAAAGGCGGCAATTGCGAATTACCGAACAAACACTTCCGGGCTATTATGAAGATGCTGCTGAATATGTTGGATGCCACGTCCAACGAAGTCGTCGCGGAGGCCCTGCACGTTCTCAGCAAGATCCTGCGCCGTCCTCAAATGAAGCCAAACTGGATCAACTTCGTTGAGCTGATTCTCCTTAAGATTATTAACTGTTATCCCAAGAGCAAGGAGACTATGCGCGAGCTGGACATGATAATACCACGAATTGTACCAGCACTTCCACTCAACCTAACCATAAACATCGTGAATCCTGTGATTGCCACAGGTACGTATCCAGTGAATCTGTGTGCCTTGAAATTGCTTACCGAGTTGGCAGATCGCCACGGATCCGAGTTGACAGAAACCCAACTGGAAATGGTGTTTCCACATTTGGCCCGACTCACCGACGATTATCAATCAATGGTACGCAAAGCAGCCGTATTTTGCATCGTCAAATTGTACATTGTAATGGGTGAGGAGAAAGTGAAGCCAAAGTTAAACATGCTTAACCCAAGTAAGGTTCGTCTACTCAACGTCTACATAGAGAAGCAACGCGGTATAACTAGCGGTGGCGGCAGTTCCACTAAGAATTCGTCAGCATCCTCTTCATGATTGCCGCGCGCCCTTCCCCAACAACAGCAAATGGAAATAGGCGACGTTAGATACTAAGTCGTGGTATATATTCTAGGTAGAAAAAGTAATAGTTGAACGAGTGTCGGTCACTTAGCCATTTCGTGCGATACTGGCTGTGTACATGGATGCGTTTTGGGGGTTTTCATTGACGACCACAATTGCTTTGTGGCCCGCAGTTTCATCTGGGCTCTGCCAACATATGGTTCATCGTTATTAATTGTTATTGGTTATAAACCTTCCGTTACACCAAACGAATTGATATGTTATTGCGATGGAACACTAGTAATACAACAAATATCATTGGCATTAGACGTCAAGAGTCGCCAGACATCATCGATCTACCTTAGTAGCAATTCGCCACCACTCTCGGTTTAGTGCATTTCGTTTTAGTTTTTTTTCTACCTTCTTTATGTTAAGTCTAATATCCTTCTAAAATAGTTCACCTCTTTATGTTCGTCATATAACTTTAAATTGTTTTTCTTTCATCTGCCTACAACTCGAAACCCTACTACAAAAATAACAACTCAGACCTTTGTAATTAATTTTGTCTAAATTTATTTTAATTCTCTTTTAATTTAAGTTTTACATCTAATGGTAAATACATACATAGTATAATATTAATAATATAATAAAGAACTAAATTAATAATAATAATAATATTAAATCTTTAATAATATTTATAGCGAACCGAAAACGACGAAATCCAAGAAAATTTAATAAACAAAAATACACTCCATTTTAACCGTTGAGATCGATCGTTGATTCGATTCGCAAAGTTCATAAATGTCAGCCGCTGTTGCAAAAGTGTTCATATCAAATAAGGAAACAAGGGTGTCTATATGTATTACATATACAGATTTTTTCAGAGGTGAACTCAAAACATTTCAGTTTTTGTTTTAAAGACTTCATTTGTAATTCGAGAATACCATTTGAAATGTTAAACTTTCTGTTGAAATGCGAGGATTTAATTTGTAATTTATTTCATTTGAATTTCAAAATTATTTTATTATGTTTTGAATTACAAATGAAATGCTATGAATTCCAAATAAACCACAATTGAAATATTTTGAATTACAAATGGAATACAGAAATTACAATTGAAATATTTCGAAATTCAAATGGTATTCTCGAATTACAAATGAATTGTGATGATTTACAAATTGTAATCTCGAATTACATTTTAAATGTTTTGAATAACATCTTAAAAAGGTGTAGTCGGAATAATATCAATTTGAGTTGTATGTAAATCATCTAAATGTTTTTGTTTTGTAAGAGATAAAGTGGAAATTGTTTAGTTTCCATTTATTATTATTTGCTTCGATGCAATGCAATGTGATGCGTAATGCTTAGTTTCCATAATACGATTACATTTATAATAGCTTGCAAATTTGAGCTTTAGTTATTATTATGATGAAGTGTGTAGGTCGAACCAGTTTCTTTGCTACAGCATACGACATGAGAAGCGGCAACGGTTGATTTCATTACGGATGCTGATGATGAACACAAATTTCAAAAATTAGCTTTCGTGCATTACTTATTTGAAATTAATGAATAAATAAATAATATGTATGTCCTGTAGGTTAGCAATGCAAATATATAAACTTACAACCTAACTATGTAAACATACACCAACATACATTGTTTTATTTGATTTTTGTTGACTTTATTAACTGATGAAGAGATTTCCATAACTAGAATTATAACTAACAATATTTAATTAATTGAAATACAATTTTTACTGTTAAACGGCTGTTCAATTATTTTAGTTATTCTGTATTTTTTTATCGACGTTCCCACGCCTCTCATTCGCACCCCTGCCGACCGAGGGGGCGACCTCCCCTTACGTAGGGATCGCGTACACACCATGATCCGTATCGTGATGGCATTTGAGAGAATCTACTTCAACAGCCAGTTTGTTATTAAGTTTTACTACTCATTTAAAAATACAATAATATTAGATTTTGTTTGTTCTACGTTCAAGCAAAAATCTACATTAGAGTATACAGAGTTAAAGTCAATACACATTTTACTAAGAGAATCTCCCATAGAGTAATTCGTGCGGTGGAAGCCTACATATAACAGTTGATAGTGTCTACTAGATCGGACAGGAACATTTATTCTAATAGAAGAAATTAGGAAATCCGAAGGTATATTACCATTTAATATTTTTAGTACCATCATAGTATTCAACATAATACGTCTTCTTTTCAATGTAGGCAAACGAATTAATTTTAACCTGCTAGTAAACGATGGCAACACAAAACTGCTATTCCAATGTAATCCTCTCAGTGCAAAAAGTAAAAATTGTTTCTGCACGGATTCGATTTTATCAGAATATATTGCATATTGGGGATCCCATACAACAGAACCATACTCTAAAATAGGTCTAACAAGAGACGTAAATAGTTGTTTCTTTGGCCTACCGTTTTATAAATCCTAAGACACCATAGGCTTTATTTACCATAGATATAACATGATTGTTAAAATTTAATTTTGGATCCATTAGAAAAAGGCTCCCAATAAAGTCGTCCCCAGTCGCAAACCCACAGTTTCTGTTGGGAATACACAGATACAACGGAAACTGATTGTGTCCAGACATATGCTAGTGTTGCGTCACATTCGGCCTCGGAAATCGTTAAGAATGTAAATGAAGTGATTAATCCAAAATCTGTGAGTATAAGTAGTGCTAGTCTGGAAAAGTCTTCAAAACCTACTCACGGAAATCGGGAATTATCAGTTCAATCATCTAATGCGTCTTCCGTAGCTGGCACTAGCAATTCCCTCCAACCTGGTCAAAGACCATTATCTATGGCTCCCACCATGAAAATGGTATTTGTATCTAGGTTTGCACCAGATACCTCGGCTGAGGATATAAATTATTATATAAAATCAAAAATCGATGGAAATTTCTTTCTACGTTGTTATAAGCTCCGGTCTGCTTTCTCAGAAAGTAGATCATCTTTTAAAATCGTAGTACAAGAAAGTATGTTTCATCGACTAATTTCGAGAGAATTTTGGCCTGCTAATGCATTTGTAAAGGAATTTCTGGAAAGATCTGAAAACTTAGCTCATTTGCCTCACAGGGCTGAAATATTGCCAAAAAACTAAATATGTTTCTCAATGTTTGCTATCAGAATGTAAGAGGGTTAAACACAAAATTAACTCGATTATTCTCTGATAGCCTTGGGTTTAATTATGATGTTATAGTATTTTCTGAAACTTGGTTAAAAGCATCCGTGTTAAATAGTGGAATTTTGTGTTCTAGATATCAAATATTTAGAAAAGATAGAGTTATTAAAAAAGGTGGTGGCGTCCTTATTGCAGTTGATGCCAAATATTCCACTAATTTAATTGAATTAAACTGTTTTGATATCGAATTTATTTGCATATCCATTGAATTAGAAAATTTTAAATTATTTGTGACTTGCTCATACATTCCTCCCTCATCGCAACTTGATATTTATAATCAGCATCTGTTAGCAATAAATTCAATCACTAACAAAATGAATGACTCTGACAAAATATTAGTTCTCGGCGATTTTAATCTGCCGTCCGTAAAGTGGCTTTCATTGCCAGATTCTGAGGCTCTAACACCCTTGACATCTGATGCAAATGTAAACTTATATACCTTTGAGCGACAGCGACATAAATCTTTATCAAATAAATAGCGTATCAAATTGTTATGATAGAATTCTAGATCTAGCATTTGTGAATTATACACAATATTATGAAATTATTAGAATACCTCCAGTATGTACTCCCGAAGATAACTACCATCCCTACATTATGCATAATAATTTAGCTACCAACAATTCTTTAATATCATTTAAATCTGTTCCTAATTATAATAAAACTGACTTCCGAAAGCTAAACGCACTTATCTCAACCGTAAATTGGAGCACATTATTTATTTGTAAGAGTCATAGTGATCTAGAATTATCAGTATATAAATTTTATGATATCCTAAATAAATTTATTCTAGAATGTGTTCCCATTGTTAGAGTTAGAAACTCGGAACGATATCCATGGGTCACATCTGGGCTTTTAAGTATTAAAAATTATAAAAATAAACTTTTTAAAAAATATAAAAATCAGGCTCCTCTATAGATTATGCTAAATATGCAGTCGCAAGGTCTAAATATACGTCAGAGTCCCGAAAACTTTACAATCTTTATTTAAACAAGATTAAACTTAATTTCAAATCCAATCCTAAATCTTTTTATGACTTTGTTAATATAAAAAGAAAAGCTACGTCAAAGCCCACCATCTTGAAATTCAATAATCAGACATTTGAGAAAAACTCTGAAATTTCAGAGTGCTTTGCAAATTTTTTCGCTACAACATATTCATATTCACCCTGTCCAAATAAAGATACATATAGTTATAAATTATCGACGATAGATCAAATATCTATGCCTTTTTTACAAAGTCAATATGTTTCTAAAAATCTACGTAATTTAAGATCAATTAAAAGTCCAGGTCCGGATGGCATTCCTAGCATAATTCTAAAGTACTGTTCAGATACATTAGCTATCCCTTTAACGCTATTGTTTAATTATTCCCTGAAATATGGTCATTTTCCGACCTTCTGGAAGAAATCCTATATAGTTCCTTTACACAAATCTGGTAGCTTAACTAATGTCTCGAATTATAGAGGAATTGCTAAATTGAGTGCAATTCCAAAATTATTCGAAAAACTGATTACTGATGTAATTTCTCATAAAGTTCAGCCAATCTTAAGTCCATATCAACATGGTTTTCGTAGTGGCCTCTCAACCATTACCAATCTTATTCAATTTTCCTCAACCGTCATAAAAGGTTTTATTCAGCGTAATCAAACCGACACGATTTACACTGACTTCAGTAAAGCTTTTGACAGGGTTAACCATGAACTTTTAATATATAAATTAAATCAAATTGGTTTCAGTATAAATTTAGTTAAATGGATATCATCTTATTTGAGAAATAGATCACAGGTAGTTTTGTTTGATGATTGTCTCTCCAAATCCATTAATGTTCCTTCCGGTGTTCCCCAAGGAAGTCATTTAGGTCCACTCCTCTTTCTTCT